AAATAATTATATATTTCAAATGCACTTCATTTTCATTATTAATTCATTATTCAATTTATAAGCATTTATTATATTTATAGGAAATGCATATTTAATTCAGTATAAATTATATTGTTTTTATTGAATCGTTTAATTATTAAATAGTTAATAAATTTAATGAATTAATTGATTGATAATATAGTTATACAGTATAATGTTCAATGAATTGATTTATTGTTATTTAATATAAAGTAATCAATTGTATTGAAAGTTTAAAAATTAAAATAATATGTGTGTGAGTTAATTGTAATTGGATTGCATTAAGTATTCAATTAATATAACAAAAGATTTTCAAAGTGTTTTTAGCAATGTTTAAAAACTTTTTAAATTTTATAATTCCTGAAGTGAATTGAATAAGCATTTGAATTAGACAGTGATTTTCAAATTAAATTTTTTTATTATTTATATGAAGAGTTGTTTATTTTGTAGACTTATCTAACATTAAAAATATTCCTATTATTTTTTTTAACTAAAATGTAAATCATGTTTTGATAATCAAAATCAATACAAGGAAGCGATTAAATGTGATTTAATTACAACATTTCTATATTTATTATTTTATAAAATTGAAATCTAATAATAAAATGTCTTTTGTATAGAAAATTTCTTTTTTTANAAAATGTAAATCATGTTTTGATAATCAAAATCAATACAAGGAAGCGATTAAATGTGATTTAATTACAACATTTCTATATTTATTATTTTATAAAATTGAAATCTAATAATAAAATGTCTTTTGTATAGAAAATTTCTTTTTTTACAGTAAAATATTTCCTGGAATTGAAAAAGTTTCTCTACTAATCTACTATCAGTAAAAATTTAATACACATTAATAGGCAAAAATAAAATAAACTACTTTCTGGACAATTGTTTCAAATGTAATATCATTTAACATATCGTCAAAAATTAATCTAACATTTGATGCAGTTGTTAACACACTATACTGTATTGAAATGAGTGGTATTTGAGCAATAAATAGATTTATTACTAAGAAATTGAATAATAATAATGTACTTATATTTTTGTATCTATTTCTTGAGCCCTTCGGCACAATTGGATGTGAGCTGAGAGTGGAGTGAAGTCTCCAGTATTGAAATGAACGCAATCTCTAAGACCTCGTTTCATAACTGTTAATAACCGGCTCATAATGTTATTTAAATTTGTATTCCTATTGAGGCCAACACATGGATTTAAAATACAAACTCTCGAGACTCTGATCCAGTCTTTCGCATATGAGTTCAGAGTGAAGAATATTTGCATCTTTTTTGGTGAACATCACATCCAATATGAGGGTATGTTTTGCATGTCTTCCTAATATTAAAACTTTTTATATCACTTATATTCAGTCATTTTTAACACGTTTAGTACTTAAATTTCACTATCTCACTTCTTGTTTTGTTAAATAGTTTTTAATAAACAATTTGTTTGAATTTTATTAATTTTTATTTTAATCATAAATCATAGCTATTATAAGTTTGCATCAAATAACTCTTTTGTTGTTTTACATGCAATCTTTAAAATGTTTTTATTAATCAACTAAATTAGAAAACTGTTGAGTTATAGTAAACTTGTTTTGGATGCATAGATATTTGTGACAAACTTTTCATTTTGAACAACAAATTGTGTTTTTGGAGAACATTTAGAGATTAGAAAAGAGAGTTCAACGAACATATAATGTATAAATAGGTGAGCGATTGCCTTATTTTTAGCAATTGCTTGAACTCTCGCACAGTCGTCCCAATCATAATCAGGCAATTGGTTTACAATTAAGACTTCGTAAGAAAACACTATTTGTTTGGAATACCAATAAAGTTATTAAAGTTATATTGCATTCAAATTTGTGTGTGTATTTCCCCATGAAGTCTATATTTAATGTTGAAAATTTGTATTTTCAGGAATTTCTGCTTTTATTCATAACGATCTGCGCCGCGACCGCAGATGAATATGGGGGTGGAGGTTATGGCGGTGGCGGTGGGTATGGCGGGGGTTATCCCGAGAAACAGAGACACATTAAGCTGAACTTCGGTATCCATGTGCCGCCCATTGTGCTGAAGATGCCGCGCATGACTATGCCCCAGGTCACCGTCAAAGCCAACTTCTTGAAGAAACCGCACGCAAAGCCACTGGAAGTCAATCTCCCGCCGCCGCCACAGATTAGTTTCGGCGAACCCGAAGGCGACAGTTATGGTGGAGGAGGCTATGGAGGAGGTGGTGGCGGAGGTTATGGTGGTGGAGGTGGAGGCTATGGTGGTGGTGGAGGCGGTGGATATGGTGGTGGAGGCGGTGGATATGGTGGTGGTGGTGGTGGAGGTTCTGGTTATGGAGGGGGTGACCAATACGGAAGCAAATCTGAAGTGAATTTTCACAAAACTATAAAAGTAGAGGATGGGGGCAGTAGTTATCCCGGACCCGCAGAAAGTTATGGTGGAAGTAATAATTATGGCAGTTATGGTCCCCCGCCTCCCGAAGCCTATTCTGGTCCTCCACAATACGGAAATCCTTCGCGCGGTGGTTATGCAGGTCCGCCATCCAATGGGTATTCCAGTCCTCCACCAAATGATTATTCAAGTCCTTCCGGACCCTCCAACAGTCCATATGGACCCCCACAAGCTTATGGTCCTCCACAAGCATACGGACCCCCACAAGGGTACGGACCCCCACAAGCATACGGACCCCCACAAGCATATGGACCTCCTCCACCTCCTCAGCCTCATAATTATGAAAACCCTAATCGTAAGGGTCAGCTCAAGCCTGTGATCCCAGGCCCAGGTTATCCGTTAGGCCCTCCAACTCCTATTAGTGAATATGCAAACCCAGCCCCCAGTGTATATCGAGGGCCATCACCTGCTGATTATGCAGACCAGTCTCCTATGCCATATCCAGGTCAACAGCCTAACAGTTATGCGGGTCCGGCGCCCAACTCATACCCCTCCCCATCGCCGCATTCTAATGCCGGCCCCTCTCCTAACAGTTACGAGAGCTCAGCGCCGGTGGGTTACGAAAGTTTGCCACAAACTTATGGTTTAAATTATTAAACATTTCATATTTTCTTGTTATCATTCAATGTTTTAATTTCAATAACTTTATTATTATTTAAATTAAACCAATCGTTAGTTTCATTGATTCGATAATCAAACAAAATATGAAAATAAATCAAATTATAGATAAGTTTTGTAAACCAAAGAAATGGATAATAGATCCATAATTCCTTCAAACATTTCCATCGATTACTTCGAATCAAGAATTGAAGAATAATTGACAGAATTTCTTAAATAAATCAAATAAGACATCAATTGTTACTCAAATATAAAATTTTATTTTTCAATTTTAGTTTATATTTTTTATAATGTATTTCATTGAAATGTTATGACGAATAAACTCATTAATTTTTAATTATCAAACAATTCGTAATATATTGCAATATATGAGCAAAAACACCAATAAATTCAAAATACAGTTAATATTCTCGAAGCGTAACAGAGAGTCGAAAGTGTTATATATTTCAGAGATATTCATAATTCGGTAAACATTCTGTGTATACATTCATAGAAAACAGATTCAGCCATAGATAGTAAGAATAAACGTTTTCAATATATGTACAGTATATTATAGTTTTAATAAATTTTAATTTTTTTATACGAATTAGTCTCAAAGCATCAAAAAACGGTAATATTTTAATTAAATCCTAAAATATTAATAAAAAAGTAAAAATAAAAGCAAAAAGATTTTAATCAGTGAAGTCGTGCAACGATTAATAAAACATTAAATTAATAGCAGATTTCATTCAATGATTATTTTTAGTCTCAAATATTTACTGCATTTCACTCTTTATATAATTAATATAACAAAAATTATCAAAAAGGGCTAAATTAATATAATAATAATTAACTTAAAAATTAAATTAAATTCCAATCAAATAATTTAAACTCAAAAACTATATGATATTTACTACTAATTATAATTATAATAAATTGCATAACAATCAGATGCTGGGACTCTCTGTGCACAGTTTCGGGTGCTTTAAAATCCTGACAAATATTAACTGTATATTTAAAAACATAGGAAAAACGCTGAAACAATAGAAAAGCAAAAAACAAAACTATAATCAGTAATAATAATAATTTTCTCAAACTTTCGATTTACACAAAAAAATTAAAATCTTTTAATTATTTCCTAAAGTTCTTCATTAATATAATAATAATAGTTATTATTTGCACACAAATTAATTCTCACATTATTATCAATTATTATAATTATTAAAATGTAATTCCAGTTCATTATCGATTAATAACTTAATAAAGCGATCGATTGTATGTCAATAAAACATGGGATCAGAGACTGTCATAAAACGATATCATGTGAACACTTCATACGCTTTTATAGATCCGTTTCCAGCGAATGATCGCATTATTAATATTAATTGAAATCAATTGGACGGTTGTGTCGGTAATCGATAATAGAGTACATAATTGTCTCAAACATAGATTATTTGGACGGTTATGTGATTTCATTTTTAGCACTAATTTATAATTTGATTAATAATTAACAGATGTATTAATAAAATTAGAAATAATTTGCTTAACATTTAGTTTAAATCTAATATCAATAGCTTTGTCATAACATCCCATTAAGCACTTATCACAGCATTTAGTCCATAGAAAGCACAGCAGAAACACAATTGTCTTTTGTCTCATATCTTATACTAATTAATAAATTCAATTGAAGGGAAGACCAGTCAAAACTGTTTGTTTGCCAAACACTTAAGAATATTTCCAAAAAATATATTGTAGTCTTTAAAAACAAATACTCCAAACTTGCAATTAATGAGAGAATGTCTTTGAATGGTTCGCTTGAAGTGTGTGTTTGCTGTAAAGAGTGTCGTGTCGTCTATAAAATAACAAATAAGGAGTTCGTGAAGTGTCGGTGTTGAGCACTTTGAGGGTTGGGATCACTTTCACTGATTGGTCATCACATCGGAGCCACTGATTGCTTCCTATGTGATAGACGTCTGTCACGTAATGACCTTTTATGGCTTCAGACCCGTCGTGGTATACAACTGGAGCAAAACAATACATCAATACATTAGTAACTAACCAAACGGTTGGCCAACAAAAAACACTAACCACTCAACAACTTGTATCTCTTGAGTTGAAGGTTCTTCTCTCGCTCCCACTTGTCGTAGTGGAGACACTCTCGGGGCAGCTCTAAATCCACCGGATATTCAATGCGCTTCATTAGTTTACGACACCCGCCGTCCATATCGTAAACAAATAACTTTAAATGAAGTATTAGAATAGGAGGTAATGTATCCAGAAATGTTTGAGCGCTCGCATCCATTGCTTGTTTCGTTTTCGGACACATATATCCCTGAATTGATTCAGAGGTTGTCAGACATTTCAGTGCGTCCTCCACTGACTTCACTCTATCGGACTGTTATGTCAGACAATACATCATTAATACAATGTTTACTTTTGCTAATTATACAAACTAGACATTACCTGAATGTCTAACTGGAGGGCAAAGAATGGCTGTCTATTACCGCAAACGTCTTTACCAGCGGTTCTAATAGAGAGCGTCGAACCGCCGAAGATATCAAATATAGGGGTAGAACTTGAAGTGTGTGTTTGCTGTAAAGAGTGTCGTGTCGTCTATAAAATAACAAATAAGGAGTTCGTGAAGTGTCGGTGTTGAGCACTTTGAGGGTTGGGATCACTTTCACTGATTGGTCATCACATCGCAGCCACTGATTGCTTCCTATGTGATAGACGTCTGTCACGTAATGACCTTTTATGGCTTCAGACCCGTCGTGGTATACAACTGCAGCAAAACAATACATCAATACATTAGTAACTAATCAAACGATTGGCCAGAAAAGCAACAAAAAAACACTAACCACTCAACAACTTGTATCTCTTGAGTTGAAGGTTCTTCTCTCGCTCCCACTTGTCGTAGTGGAGACACTCTCGGGGCAGCTCTAAATCCACCGGATATTCAATGCGTTTCATTAGTTTACGACACCCGCCGTCCATATCGTAAACAAATAACTTTAAATGAAGTATTAGAATAGGAGGTAATGTATCCAGAAATGTTTGAGCGCTCGCATCCATTGCTTGTTTGGTTTTCGGACACATATATCCCTGAATTGATTCAGAGGTTGTCAGACATTTCAGTGCGTCTTCCACTGACTTCACTCTATCGGACTGTTATGTCAAACAATACATCATTAATACAATGTTTACTTTTGCTAATTACACAAACTAGACATTACCTGAATGTCTAACTGGAGGGCAAAGAATGGCTGTCTATTACCGCAAACGTCTTTACCAGCGGTTCTAATAGAGAGCGTCGAACCGCCGAAGATATCAAATATAGGGGTAGAGATTACTTTCGCCTATATTTCAACAAATCAAATGTTTACAAAACACTTTATATTACACCACAAATGCATTCATATAATCAAAACTACTCACAGAACGAGTGGGCATTGGTTTGTGACGAGAACTCACTTCTTTCCATAGGTTTGAGTCGTCGTCTTCATTGTTGCTATCGTTTGGGTCGATGTCTGCAAAGTGGACGCCATTCGGCTCTTTGCCGATGTGTCCGTTCAATGTGTTTGGGGTCGAGTGCTGTCCGTTCACAGCTTTGTTCTCATTATCATCGGCCATAAGCCTCAAGAGTGCAATCATTTCTTCGTGCAAACCGTTGAGTACGGATGAGAGGAACTCCTCTGCGTCCTCCTGACGCCCCTTAAGACACTCCGATTTAATGGATCCGAGCACATCGTATATACAACGGGGCTCTATTGGCTCGCCTCTGGGCATGTCCTCAGTGGCCAAATTGGCGCCACTCTTCTGCTTCCGTGTCAAGTGATCGCATGGCGTCAAGTAGTTGAAGAATTTGGCGCTAATATGCAATTCATGGGTTAATCAGTTAATTATTGCAATCATTTAAATCGCTGTAATGTCAGTGCAATACGTTTCTCGAAATGTGTTTTATACATTTATTTTGCTTTTCATAATAAAATATTATGTAATGATTGAAATGCAAACTGAAAGCATAGAGTTGTTCAGAAATGTGAATTGCTTTCAGATGTCAAATATATTACTTTATTATGCCATAAGAGAAAACATTTAATGCAATGACCGGCAACTACACTCAAACATGCGAGAATATTGTACCATAGTCAAAATACAAACAATAATCTCATAAATATAGAATATTATACCGGTATAAAATATTTACTATGTCTAACTTATAATGCAGTATAACTTATAAAACATAACATTTAATATAGTGATATTGACATATTTATTAATATAAACAAAATCTTTTTACCGGTATTATATTTTATTCAATTAATTAATTTTAAAACTATTTAAACAAATTTGAATCAAGCCACAGTAATGTATCAGTAGTAATGATAATATGAATGAATAAAAAGCAACAAAAATAATACTATTTGATTGATTAACATTTGTGTTACATTACCCAAGACTAGAGTACATTTGAAAACTATTTATAAATATATGGCAAACGGGTTATGAGAGGAACGATAGTTTGGAAGCAATTAAAAGGCAATGAAGTCTACTTACAAGCTGTCGATTATTGGTGTCGACGATCGCTCTCTGAATAGACCAGAAATGTCTCCGATTTCTCGCATTAGGTTATAAAAAGGAGGGCAACCGACCAGTGCTTGAAGGGTCTGTAAAACAGTGATTACACTAATGGTTAGTATGAAGTAAAAGGCATAACAAGAGTGAAAACATACGGCGTTAATGTAACACCAATTGCCGCGATTGATAAAACCCGATGGTATAAGATATGGTAAAAAGTGCTTTAAATGGAGTTCTTTGACTTTTTTGGATAATTTTCTGGCGAACGAGTCGTTGCGCATAGGAATGCATTGGATTTGAGCCTCACTTTCACTGATAACACCACTAGAATTCAGATGACTGTCACTTTCAGATAGATTCACATTATTGTAGTTATGGCTGACTATTATAGGGCCAGTGGTCGCACCACCGGATGTTTGCGATGAGAGAGTCGATGAGTGAATAGCTGAGCCGTCTTTGAAGAGGTCGGCCCACGATTTCTGACTACTGGAGCCCCAGACCACTGGTGCGGCCGCTGTCGTTGAACTAGTAGTTTGCGTCGAAATGGCAGCACTTGTAGTGTTTGTCACGTCTTTGACAATCAC